CACCTTGCGAGAAGTACTGTGGCAAGACTGTCCTCACCCAGGGGAGTCGTGAACTTTCTCGAAAAAAGGGATACTTGTAGCCCCGGGTATTCTGCGTACCGGGACTGCACTGTGGGCGGGAGCTGCTTGAGATCGCCCACGAGCACTATGCGAGCGCCACACTCGACCATGATGCAGATGGACTGAGCGCGCCCGTTGCGTTACAAGAGGGGGATCGGGTTTTTGAGTTGCCGATAGTTCCCTGTTCGCGCTTCCCTTTAATTTCCATATATTTTCCCCTATAATTCCCTGATTCCAATAATTTCCCTGACATTTCCTTATAATCCCCTACATGTCATTATTATCCCCGCCTCCCCCAACTAATTATCATGGGCGCCAGCCATACTCGATCTTACATGGTTAGCCGATATTTCTAGATTACACGTAGAAAGGGTGGGGTTACAGGAGAACCACACCCATGGACCTCAAGGGCCTACAGGAGCACTGGGGAGCCACGGGAGGAGCCACGGGAGGAGGCACGGGAGGAGGCACGGGAGGAGGCTTTCGGCGAGGCACAACTGCAGGAGAGCAACCCGAGCTCCCCCACCCCTCGCCCCACATGGTTTACACTGCTGGGGATTACCGTCCCACTGGGGCCTTGGAGCCGAAAAGCAACACATAAAGGGGATACAAGACAATTAACGGGAATGCAAGACAATTAACGGGAATGCATAACAAAACAATTAACGGGAAGACAAGACAATTAATGGGAAGACAGGACGCTTAAAGGGTATACAAGACAATTAACGGGAATACTTAACGGGAAGGGAAGAATTTAAAAGGGAAATGGAATCAGCTCAAAACACAATCCCCCTAGTAACACGACGGGCGCGCTCAGCCGATGGAGATGGCAGCAGAGACCTAGTTGACCTGGCCAACCTCGTCGACAATGCCCAGGATCACCTTGAGTGCGTTGGGCTGGTCGAGCCTCCAGGAACCTTCGTGGGTCGCAATGATAATGCTGCATTTGCTGCTGAGGTGGGCTTTGAACTTCCGCCAGCCCTTTATTATTATTGGACCTGGTGGGCTCGGTGTTCCATGCACGTCGATAGTGGCTGGTGGCTGAGAACTTGTGAGCGTCAGGATGTGTGATGCGTTCGTCCTCTGCAAATCGTGCAACGCAGCTCCGGTATTACGGAAAGTTGACGAGGCGGCCCTCTGTGTGTGTGCTGTTTCGAAGGCGACGGCTGTTTGGTCTGCTGCTGTGTTTTGGAGCCAGCGACGGCGAGAACAGTGGAACCAAGTCCCGCGACATGTGTTCAGAGCCTTGCCAGTGCGGCTGCGAAACGTGTTTTCCCTGTGCCAGGTGGGCCATGTACCGCCGTGACGAGATGTTTGACGGATGAGCGGAGTGCTTGCTTATGGTCGTCGTTGAGGTCACGCGCTGCAATGACCCCTTCGATGGTGTCCTCAGCGGGCACGTTGTTGGCACGCTGCCGCACCGAGCCTGGGTGTTCGTCTATTTCGGCGTCCGCGATTGGTTCCAAGGCGCCGGCAAGCTCCCCGGGTCACCAAACTGGTCAGGATCAAGCAGCGGGCCCCCGAGCGATGCACGACTTCGGAGGCGCAGAAAGTGTCCGCGTAGTGCGTTCCTGTAGGTGTCGTTGGACCTTTGTTTCTTCCCGTTGTCGTCTGTCCCAAAGGCCGAAGCGTGGTCCCCCATAAATCGTCCCGGTGTACGTTGGAGTGGTTTCATGTTCGACAAGGCGGTTTTGACCTTTTCGTGCTGGATCGCACTGGGCGCGACGTCGACGCGGTAGTGAGGCGCCCCTGTCTTTTCTGGCAGTGGCGCTACAGCAGAGGTGCCGTGCAGTGGCCCGTCGACCTTGTCATGCTTGACCAGGAAGCCGTTGGTTGGGCAGACGCGACAACGCAGATGGAACCTCCGCTTGTCGTCTGGGATGACCCGCCCGGGGAAACGAGGAAGACCCCGCGGAGACAGGCGATTTCGTCGGTGTTGGGTCCTTTGTATGACAGCAGCACCGCTCGTACTCCTTCATCCCCACAATCAGCTGTCAGCTGCCACTCGGTGTCCCAGTTGACGACAGTAATCTGTGGCTTCGCTCTCCTCGATCCAATCCTCCAGCTTGCACTCCTGAATGAACCAGTGCCGACTCGCTGGTGTCACCAGTTCCAGGCTAGCGTCTAAGGCGCAGGAGCGCTTGGCTGTCAAGTCCCTACGAGTCTTTGTTTTTTTCGTCACAGTATGGTTCAAGGTTGGCACGCATTTCAAATATGCTCATCCGAACAAGTCTGGTAACGTGTTCCTTGGCATCAGTTGGCCAGGTGTTGGGCAGAGTGACTCCACTGGGGACCCTTCCGATGGGAATCGAGGGAATGATCGCTTGTCTTCCGTGGTCCCACCGGAAACTGTAGAGCTGATGGGGATACGCGAAGCGTCAAGAATTTCAGTACTGGTATTGGCTGATCGAGAAAATGCGACGGGGCTGCGACAGGCGGCGACCGAACGAGAATCCGGAAACGTCAGCCACCGCATGTTTGTATTCGCAGGTGCAAAGAAACACTTGAAGGGCATCGACGGGGGATATGATGGGGGGGCATTGGGGGGAAGTACACTCTCCGAGAATACCAAGATCATCGCACAAAAAACCTCGTGGAAAATCACGTTACCCACACGGAATAATCCAAAGAGGCTTAGATCAGGCTCGCCTGAGGCGCGATGAAATCCGCTTGAATCTGCCAAGACTGTTACCACGGTGCGCTCGACTGTATCGACATCTGTCCATGGAATTCGCAAGTTGAGCCTAAGCTTAGCACTAATCTGCTTCTCGGAGGCGCCTTCCAACGTTGAGCCGGCGATGGCGGCCAACGCTTACGTGGACGCCGTGCTGTGGCACTGGGTTCGGTCTGGGACCCCGATCGGCGGGCTGAGGCACTATGCCCGTCGCCTGCGCTGCCTGGACCGACTAATTCGAGCAGAGAAGGGAATCTCACAAGGAGGTGCGCCCACCCAGGGAGGTAGCGATCGTGGACGCTCGGGGGGGGTCCCGAAAGCGGGGCACGCGCGCGAAATTTCCCCGCGCGGGGGTGCCCAAAACCACCCCCCCCAAGGCAGCGGATCGAGGCCGGAGATGCCCAAAACCAACCCCGGGGCAACTGATCGAGGCTGGGGGGTGTCCAAAACCGCCCCTTCTGGGGGAACAGACTGGGAACATAGGGGAAGGTAGTAGACACAGAGTGGGGACACAGTGGAAACACAGGGGAACATAGCTGCCCACGTACATTGGAAAACCATGAGTAGTTGTTTTCAAGGATCTAGGGGATCATAGGGGAACACAGTAGGAACATATGCAGTGGGAACATAGGGGAACATAGTGGGAACATAGCTGCCCAAAAGCGTTGAAAGAGCATCGCTTTGTTCAAGGATCTAGTGGAAAATCGGAGAGCATAGTGGGAGACAAGTGGGAAAACAAAGGGAACATAGTGGGAGCTCAGGGGAAATTAGCTGCCCAAAAACATTCAAAAAACAATCAATGGCTTTTCATCGATCTGCGGGAACATCGGGGAACCCAGTGGGAAACTAGAGGAACGTAGTGGGCACATAAGGGAACGTGGGGGATCATAGCTGCCCCAGGCAGTGGTTTTGGGGCCCCCCCCGCCTCGGCCAGCTGTTCCAGGGGGTGGTTTGGGACACCCCCCGCCTCGACGAAGCGTCCCCGGGGGGGGCTGTAGACACCCCCAGCCTGGATCAGCTGCCCCTGGAGTGGGGGGTCCCCCGGGAGCTGTCGCGCACAGGCCCCCTCTGGGAGCCAGCCAGGGCGGGGGGGCACGACGGCCTCGGGGCCCCATCCACCGCCAAGACCACGTTGCGCAGCTGCCCCGACAGCTCGTCTGGGCATCGCTTCTGCCATGGCTGGCGGTGGTGCACGAAGCGCCAAGAATTACGAATGCGTTCCTGAACTTGGCGCTGTCCTCCGACCCCTCCCGCTCTCCCTGATGTTTGCGGGCGTCTTGGTGTCCTCCCCCCCCTGCGCCTCTCCCGTCAATGTCCCTCCTCTTTCCCCCATTCCGTTCCTCGTGATTGCGTTAGGTCGGGCATGTCCCGCTACAGGCGGATTGTGGACGAAAAATTAAAAAACAGTCAAATAATATTCCTAACATGTCAAAAATGGTAGAAAAATCGTCCCCTGGTATTTTTTTGGCCATTCCCCCTGTAGAGGGACAGGCCCGACTTAATGCTTGCGCCCCCAGCACTTCTTCACCCCTGGAGCCACGGGCTCTGTGCCTGCCGAAGCGCAACCTCCGCAGCGTAAACAAACATCGTAAGAAGACGCGTGCGCGTAGGGGTCACGATCCTCGTGAGGGGTGTGCCGACATGGTGGACATGCGGTGAGCAGAAGCGGGCATGGGAGGAGGGAGGAGGGGGAGGAGCGAGGGGGCAGCGGGAGGTGAGGTGAGGTGAGACGCGAGGCGCTCTCTTCAAAACGAGGACCCAACACCACAGGATGGTTGGGAACACATCATAAGAAGATGCGCGCGCGCGTAGGTTCATGTCCACGCGTTCCAAACACGCGGATGTATCCAACCCTGTGAATGCGCAATCGGTCCCCCAACCGCCCCCAGTCGCCAAATCTCCCTAATCGGCTTTGAGTGTTTCCTAGGAGGCTAGATATACAACCGCATGGGGCGGGAACGAGCGGCGACTGGCGAGAACCCCCAAAGCCAAAGCCATCGCACGAGGCGGCGACGAGGCGGCGGCAACGGGCGGGGCGACGAGGCGAAAACCCTCAAGCTCATCCACCCCCTCCTCCTCCTCCTCCTCCTCCTCCTCCTCCTCCTCCTCCTCCTCCTCCTTAGTGCAAGCACTGTTCGGGGAACGATTGGTCGATCCTCGACTCCAACGGCGGCGACGGCGGCGGCGACGGCGGCGGCGCGGCGGCGCGGCCGACGGCGGCGCCGACGAAGACGACGATGTCGACGGCGGCGGCGGCTCGAGCAGCCGTAGAGCGCCGCGAACGCCAGGCAGACCGACAGGGTGCAGAACATCGCGACGACGAGGCTGTGCTCCAGGGGGCCCATGTGCGCGAAGGGCCCGTGGGTCGCGCCGGCCGCCCTCCATCCCCCATCCCCTCCAGCAGGATCGAGGATCGAGGCTCGAGGCTCGAGAGCAGAAGGTCTGGGGGTATTCGGGGGCACGTCTGAGGGCCTCCTGGGGAGCCCTCGTGGCAACGTCGCTGTCTGCGTATGCTCTGTATGAGGGCTCGCCACGTCTCAGTGTTCCGTACGCGTGCTCCCTATGCATGATGTTTACGCTTGCATGTCAAGTCTGCACGTGTGTTGCGTATCGCTGCGTTTTACGCTACTTACGCGGTTTACGCATGTCTGCTTAAACTTGCTCCAACAAGCCCATGAACCTACACATGTTCCGTACGCATGCGTTCCATGAACTATACGACTGCATGGCACGAAACACTGCGAACTGCGTTGTCAGCTCTCTGGTGGCTTTCGTACGTCGCTGGCGCCAGTTCTTACTCATTTGCATGATGCGTACGTGCCGCAGCCGCTTGCAGCTTGTGTTGATGGTGTTCGACTTACTTATGTGTTTCATGCGTGCGTTCTTCACGTGTCGCTGCAGTTCCCCGGACAGTGCGTACACAAATTAAGGCATTACAGTGGAGGCCCGTCCACAAGAAACCTTCCACAAGAGACCCAACCCTGAGACCCTGGGACGTCCATGGATTTTTGGTGTGGGAATGTCGCGCTCCCCATCGCAAAACCACCCAAACCCAAGAAACCCAGGGCACCATTAAGCACGGTGTTTCTTGGCATGGGCCCCCACTGTACTGCAGTGCATCAGCATCTGGCTGGGCTTCCGGGGCCTCGACCCGGCGCCCCGTTGACGCAAGCAAGCAGCACAGCAATCAAACTCTCAGTGTTCATCCTGAGCGCGGGCCCTGTTTGCCGGCCGCATCAGACGCGGTTTCCAACGCCGCCTCTAGCGCCAGGCCGAAGGGCAGATCAGGCTTACCGCCCTTCCGCTCATGCCGCCGCCCTGGCCGTCTTCGCCGCTCTTGGCGCCCGTCGACATGGCCTGGCAGGCTGGGGCGCTGGTGTTGGCGGCGGCTGTCGCGCTTGTCGCAGCCACGACTTTCTCGTCGAGCGCCCAGCGCTAGAAGTCCTCACCGGTCGAATAATCAAAGCCCCTGCCTGACGGCGCTTGCACTGGGTGGCCGGCAGCAGGCCCAGGCCGCCGCGGCGCTACCCGTCTGCGCCCCGGTCGGCGCTGCCGTTGAAGGAGGCGGCGGCGCCGTCGCCAGCGCAGGAGGCGGCGTCGGCGTCCGGCGCGTTCCTCGGGCTCTGGCCCCGCGCCACGGGCGCGGTCGCCGCGCGCGGGCGAGCCGCAACGGCCCGAACGCGGGCGCGGCAACGGCGACAGCAAGCGCTGGCGGTCGCGCGTGCTGGCGCGCCGCGAAAAGTGCGGCAACGGTACGCGGCGCTCCTGCAATTGGGGCCACCACCCGCTGAACTTCAGCCAGGAAGGCCACTTTGCGCAGTGCCCCCCCCTTGCGGCCCCAGCTATCCGCGCCCGCGTAGGTCGGCTGCGGGAAGAGCTCAGGGGAGCGCAAATCTTAGACAAATCAACTTCACTGAATTGCGCGCCCTGACTGCACGGGTCCGCATGGAACCCAAAGTTAGCAGATCTCGAACCCCAGCCTAGCGTGTTTCTACATTTGAGTTGACCTCAGCCTGGTCCAGTGTGTCTCTCATGTGCGTGCGTGTTTGCGCGTGCGTGTGTGTGTATATGTACGTGTATGTGCGCGTGCGTGCATGTGCATGCGCATGCGCATGCGCATGCGCATGCGCATGTGCATGTGCATGTGCATGTGCATGTGCATGTACATGTGCATGTGCATGTGCATGTGCATGTGTGTGTGTGTGTTTGTGCGTATGTGGGTGCGTGCGTGCGCGTGTGCGCGTGTGCGCGTGTGCGTCTGCGTGTGCGTGTGCGTGTTCGTGTGATTTTGTGCGTGCGTGCATGCTTGCGTGTGTTCGTGAGTGCGTGCGTGCGTGCGTGCGTTCGTTCGTCCCCCGCCTCGAGCGGGACGCCGTATCCTGACGCCGTCTCAACCCAAGCCGCGCGCCAAGGCAAGCAACGCACGCGGCGGTGGATGAGGGGGAGGTACGCTGGTGGAGAACGGCCCGCTGCGCAGCTACCCGAGACCATTACACACACGCACACACACACACACACACACACCGCACGCTGCTCTTGATGCACCCAAACGCCTGGGCTGGCCCCTTTCCTGAATTCGCGGGGCCAACTTTTGCCAAAAGCGCGCGTCGCATCACAGCCACGGTGCCGCAAGCTCGGCGCTGCATACAGCCCGCACTGTGTGCGGCCGTCTTGGCGAGGAAAATTGTCAGGCATTTCCGCGTGGCGTGAAGGGGCGGCACCTACACCGCGCAACTCCTCAAAAAGGCTTATGGTAGCATTTTGGAGCGCAAGGCCGTGCCTTTTTTTCCACTCAACGCACGAGTGCGCCGTGCGCGTGCGATGGGGAGGGAGGGGGCGGAGGCAAGAGAAGGAGGAGGAGGAAAGAGGAGGAGGAGGAGGAGGAGGAAGGGGAGGAGAAAACACGACTCCCGGGATACGGACTATGGCGGCAAGCGGGAGATGAGGGGAGGAGGAAGGATTAGGAGGAATGCGCCCGTGACTCCTGAAACTAAGGATCATAGGGGCACTTGGGATCATTGGGCTAATGCGACTCGTGGGCCACATGATCTCATGGGGCTGGTAGGGCCCCTCGGCCTCAGAGGGCTCAAAAGGCGTATAGGGCTCAATGTGTTCATAAGGATGCGTGTGTGAGTGTGCGTGAGTCATAGGGCTTGTAGGGCTCATACGTGGGCACCTGGGCATCATGCGTCTCTTGAGCTCATACGGCTCATGGGGCTTCCTGGCCTATTGTGTCCCTTCAGGCTCAGAGACCCATAGGCCTCATTGCGCTCGAAAAAGCATGAAGATGGCATGACTCATGAAGCTCACAGAGCTGAGGAGGGGGAACATCGACCTGGAATCTGCCACTTGCCGCCAAGAGATCGGCGATGGGCCCACGACGGCGAGTCCGAACGCTCCCGGGCGGGGTGGTCCGTCGGGCCCCTCCCGGCGAGCTATGGGCGACTGGGGGTTCGATGCACTCCCCGCCCTGAGCCGACCTCCGTCCCCGGGCGCTTTCGGGCCAGAACTCGGGCCTCGCGCGGCCGCTCGGGGCGGGCCGAGCACGCCCGGCACGCCCTCGGCGAGGCGCAGCTGCAAGGAGAAGCATCCCGAGGCAGGAAGAGGGCCGAGGCCCGACGAAGTCGCTCGCAACCCTCGGAGCTCGAACCTCGAGCCTGCCGTCCCCCCACCCCCCCCTGGCCCTATCCCCCCCGAACTTTGCCCCTGATGCCAGAGGTCTCGGCGGGGGAGGGGGGGCACCGCTCCCCCTGAGCGGCGGAGGGGGGAAGCCCCCCCTCTGAGCCCGTCCGTGGCGGCGCGCACCAGTGGAGTGGGGGGGAACGGGTCAGGCTTCTTGGAAGAAGGCTGCTTTCAGGAGGCGCTGGCCCTACGTTTCCAGGCGAGGCCCGCGCCTTCTGAGAAGCAGGGTGCTTCTGAGAAGCCTTCCCCCTCACCCTGCCCTACCCTGCGCATGGCTGCGAACCCCCCCTTGGCGTCGCCCCCGATGCTGGAGGTCTTGGCGGGGGAAGGGGGGCGGCCGGCGCGGCCGCGGGCGAAGGCCGTGTCGCCCACGAGCCACAGCAGCATCCGCTCCCGCGCGGACACGGGCCGCTTCCGCCTGGCATCCTCGGCGCCGCCGCCGGCGAGCGGGCCTCTTGCGGAGGGGGGGGGTCCCGCCGTCTGCGCCGCAGAGGGCAGGGGCAAGGAAGGCGAGGGGCAGGCGGAGGACGCGAGGGAGGAGGAGGAGGAGGAGGAGGAGGAGGAGGAGGAGGAGGAGGAGGAGGAGGAGGAGGAGGAGGAGGGGAAGGAGGAGGGGAAGGAGGAGGAGGAGGAGGAGGTGTCTGTGGTGGTGATGGTGGTGGTGAGCAGGCCTGAATGACATCGTCCGCCTGTCAAGAACGCAAAGACGCTGAGCATCTGCTGACAAGGAACAAAAACAGCCATGCCTGCTGCTGCTACAAGACTACCTTGCGACACTGTACGCTTAACGTATGCCCCATCCCCCCTCTCCTCCTACGTGTTCCACGATCCCTTGCTACAGGCTACCATATTCCCATCACATCCCTCCGCCCCGAAGTGCTGGGCGAACTGGTACTCCCACTGCCGCCGCGCAAAAAGCGCCGAGGATGCCCTTGCCGATGCCATCTCTGGGTTACGTTCTCTCGGCACCTGCTCCGACATTTCCAGAGCAATGCATGGCAACAAGGAGAATCGCCCGGAACATACTGGGTACTTCTGGCGATTTGTCTGGCATGTTGGAACGCCCTCCGGAAAGCCACCATCTCAGCATCGACAATGTGAACGCGAATCCGGAGCTGCTTCGACTCACGATGTTGAATATCATGCCTGTAGCTTGTACCTGCGCAACTGCAGGGTAATGCTTTTTGATCTAGCCTCGTACTTTCTGAAGGGATCGAAGGTTGTACGTCCAGCAGCGGGCCGTCCACAAGGCTGAAGACGTCCAGACCCTGTGGATGAGCGCGAAGAGCTGCAACCAGCTAGTACATCGAGGTTTTCATAAACCAGCGAGACAATTTTTGCAAATATTTTGCACCATGCACCCCCTCGCCGTCATGCACCCCCTCATCAGTCTAGGTGAAGCCCCGTTGTTCAATCTCTCTGTTCCCTCCCATGGATTGCGCGGCCTCCTATCCGGATCCTCTCCTAACTCCTCTGGGGTGGGCCACTGTATGCGAGACGCGGGCAGCTCCGAACCCGCCACAGACAACGCCTTTTCAGCAAGAACGTGAATTTCTTGTGCCTGCTGCCAACCGATGCCAAGGATGCCGAGGGCATCCGAAACAAAAACATACAAACGGCACACGAAGAGGACAACACTGTAAGCACCATTTTGCGTATGCAGACCACACGGACGAAATTCTCGAACCGGCACTCCTATCGGGATCTTGGGCAGAGCTCGCATACAGGATTCAAGCACTGCCACAAACACACAGCAAACACTAGTGGTCCCCATTTGGTGCCCTGGGGGATGGATCTGGTGGTGCGCTCCGCTTGGCCCTCCAATCCCTGATACTGCAGAGTATGTCGAAACAAAAATGAAAAAAATAGAGAAAACACACACAAAAAAAATAAAACAGAACGAACATAACGAACAAGCCATGCTATGATGTTCCGTGGTACCCCCCTCTCCAGCAGCGTGGCCACGATCAACACATGTCGGACTCGATCCAAAGCTTGAGGCACACCAGGAGGAGCAATCGCGAGCTCCTGGCCGGCCTGCACGGCACGCTGGCCAGGCACCGTGGCTGTGGAGACCATGTCCACGCCGGAGTGGCGCGCTCCTCCTCCTCCTCCTCCTCCTCCTCCTCCTCCTCCTCCTCCTCCTCCTCCTCCTTCTCCCCCTCCTCCTCCTTCTCCCCCTCCTCCTCCCCCTCCTCCCCCTCCTCCTCCCCCACCTCCTCCTGCTTCTCCCCCTCCTTCTCCTCCTCCTCGTCCTCCTCCTCCTCCTCCTCCTCCTCCTCCTCCTCCTCCTCCGTGTGTGTTGCGGGGTTGCAGCAAGTCTAAGACCGAGTCCAGAACAGCACCACCCACAACCTTCGGGAGAACTGGGGGGGACCGTGATCGGACGGGGCTGGTTCCAAAAATGTGCTACGTTCTCCTTCGGTAGCAATGCCATGTGAGTATGTTAGTGTCCCTCTGGTAGCCTGTTGTTCAGAATACACATAGGTGCATCAGCATGGTTACGACGATACTTGCGCAACATTCCCTCTCTGTCCGTCTCCGATCCGACAACGACGTTTAGCATTACGTGCATGCACTGTGCGTAAAGGCCCCCTGATGTCTCTGATCAGGTTTTCTGTGATGATTGGCAACGGGTGTGTGACGTCTCCACCCTCAATGCACAAGCATTCCGAACATCCAAACAAATCGCCGTAACCAGAGTATTGTTGGCCGGGGCTGGATCGCACGCTCTGGTCACGAAGCGGGACGTCTGCACAACCAAGGCGGCTCGCGCTCTCCTGCAGGCAGAACTCGCAAGCATGGAAGTCGAAAGGCGAGGCGCACATCGAGACTGGCAGCGGCTCGTCGATGCCGAGGTTGGCGAGAGCATCAGCACGATAATTCCGAGCCCTGAGAGCCCATTTAGCTTGGACTTAAGTCAAAGTAGATAATATAGCGTAGCGGTGAGAACGGTAAAAGCAGCTCCTGGAATACAAACTTGCCAGAGTCCCAAACGCTAGGCTGTACCCCGCCTGCACCGCGTGCACTAGCCCGATCAAAAGGCCGTGCCTGTCAGCATCAGGCTGCTACCCCCCAGCAGACGCCACTTAAACTCGAAGATCTGGTTGCCCTCAAAGTCAAAGATGACTCCACCGCACCCCATATGTTGCCCGTCCCTCCTGGCCCCGTTCAACTGAAAAAATGACACCTACCATAGTTACCCACTCGGCCCCCAATCGGCGCAGCGGCGGCAACTGGGACCCGCTCTGGCAGCTACATTTGGAAACTGACAATGGCGTCAAGCATGGCGTCAAGCATCTCCCCAACCACCCCGTCGGCAGAACAGCTTGCGCCTTTGCCTACACGCATGAAGGTTGCGTGAATAGCACTGGCAGGAATAGGATTAGCGTTTGGGAAGGCCACCCAAAAAATCCACATGGGCAGACGGTCATTTCCAGGACCCCGAAACGCCTCGTTGAAAAAATCAACCACGCTCTTCTCCAACTTGCTCATGTCGGTGACGCTTTTCTTCGAACGAGGGCACGTGGAAAAGACTACTGGAAAAGCAAGCCCTTCTCTTCTTCCCCCGACCTCCTTCGAGTAAGTTCCCCAAGACGCCCAGACCCCTCAAATCGAAATCTTCAGCTTGCAAACGTTTGCGTTCTCGGGGCACCTGTTCGGCCGCTGTCCTCTTGCCCTGTCTCGCGCCCGCTTGACGCCTCTCAGCTTCTAAAGCGTTCAGCCTAGCGCGCCTGGCCGGTCGAATACTTTTCCTGGGAGAGAGCTCGCCTGCACTCTGACCCTCCCCCGCCCGCGCCGTAGGTAGATTCTCCAACGTGCAGTCATCATCAATCCGGTCGGAGAGCTGCTCAAAAAAGGCACTGGGCCCGTCAGGTTCCACCCGACTGGCTTCCTCCCATGCTAAGCGGTCAACCTCTCAGCCCGGATCCGTACTTGAATCATCGAATGGTCGGTTCGGGTCGCGAGAACGCTATGCTTTCGAACGCGATCGACGCGTCCTACCTTATCGGCGGTCGTGAACACGAAATCGAGTTGAGCGGTCATCCAGATCTGTGCCCTGCGGGAGGTACACGCTGACAAGGTACAACTGCCGGTTCCCAATACACACACGCGCGATGCTTGCAATCGTGGATTGTCTGAGGGGACAGGTTTCTCCATGGCCGTCTTGTGCCTCCGATGGAGAACGATGGCACGCCCTCGAACGTCAATTCCCCCAGCAGCGGAAACAATTGTATGCCCATCTATGTTAGAGACATAGCCATCCCCACAACCGTTGAATTCCTGAAGAGGGAGTGCGTCCCACTCGATATGCATGCCCTCCAGGAAGTCCCGAAGAAAGTCAGCCCACAGCAATTCAGACCAATTACAATAACAAAATTGTGGCGCCTTAGACCCCGTGGCACTGCTACCCGAAGTGTGGGACCCGATCCGCCTACACGGCTTTGCGTAGGAGTCGTGCACTGCTGACTGGCCGGCGGCCGTCTCCAGTCAGCGGCGTTCCGTCGATCAGAAGGGCCGAAACGAACGCTGCTTCTGAATCACAGCGTTCTCGACAGCTTCCTTGACCCTGTCTTCAATAATTCCGTCGGCCTTCATCGCCTCGGTGAAATTCTCGGCATTGACCTTCAAATCCCCGTTCGTGTCGAAGCTCCCCACCGGCAACTAATTCGCAACAACGGCCTCCTGGTTGCTGACCATGCGGAAGTTCGTCCCGTTGTCCAGAATGCAAAAGGCCTCCTCTAACCTGGCGACCATGAGCCTGCGATCCTTCTGCGCCTTATCCTCGTGCCTTTTCGCCCAAAGCCGATATGTGGTAGCACCAATTCAAACTGTCACACTCCCATTTCCTGTATCTTCCTCCTTCACACGTTTGCGCCACTCTCCAATCCATTCCCACATCAGATCAGCTGTCCTCCAAATGACCGTGCAAGGATTGCCTGGAGAAGCATAGTAGCCATTCAAGAAGTTGTCCGTATGGTCCTTCAGCATGACATCTGTTGCCTCCGCCATTTCGTCCTGCTCGCTGTAAGGAGGGGTCCCACAATCACCAACTTCTTCAGGTCGATGCCGCTCGATCCTCCCTGCGCATTTCCACTAGCTCGAGTCGTTCCTGTGTTTCTGGATAGTGCTGATGCTGCTGAATTTGCCTGCTACTTCTGCTGATCAATGAGCGCCTTCACGGCGCTGTTGGCCTCCGCAGCCTCCCGGGTAGCCTGGTTTGCTTCCTGGTCCACGTTGCCGACGTCACGCTTGATCTCTTCGCGGCGGTGGACAAAACTCCCTGTAAGAAATTGAACCTCCCTTTAGAGAAAACGGCCTGGGACTGAAACCGACGGACCTGGACACGCAAAAATGGCAGCTGCGACGACCTCTCGCGAACCGAAAACGACCAATTCGCTGATCGACGTGTCAGGGCAGGAGGTCTATCAACATCCGATCTTCTATCTGC